AGTTGAAACTTGATTTTGCCAGCAAAAGGAAACCTGCAGCTCCAGCTCTGGCTACAGCTTCTATACCATCTGGGTATCCCTACCACTCACTGATGCACTATGGAAATGCACCATATGGTGCACCTGGATTTATGCAGCCCCCAGCATTGCCATTCAAACACCGTAGTCATTCAGGGTGTGATGAGATGCCAAGCTCCAATCCCATAGAGTTGACGGAGGATGTAACTCTCTTTCCCCAGTTAGAGCAATGGCTAGCTGATCTGGACGATAGCCCTCATGGTCTCAATAACCATGACTTTGCATTGTTTTCACCTGATTTCCTTCGAGAAAAGTACATGCGTATCTCTGACCTTGATGGACTTACCATGAATGAGCTTCTGGAAATATGTGGAGGTATAGCAAGAGGCATAGCAAAGAAGGTTCTCGAGTGTGCAGCGAGAGAATGTAAGGTCATTAGAAAAAAGGAAAAGCAAATCTCCGGGAGATGGAAAAAATGCCTCGGCATTGTTACTGATAATATTGATACATTAGGACTATTACAACTAGTAGCCACAATGTGCAAACCATCCTTGTGTATCTGCTTCAGTTACAGACCAAACAGCTTCATTGAGTAGTAAGTAAACATTGAGATCATCTTTTTCTGACATAGCCGCATGTGCAATACCTCCATGGTGTTGAATATAAGCCTTAATGGCAGAAAAAGCAAGTTCAATAGGGTTGTAATCTGGAGAATAGGGTGGCAAGAACACATAGCGTATCCCATGAATGTGAATGAGATTTGGTATGGGTGTCAAATGAATCAATAAACTGACTGAGCTTTTTCATTCAAGAACCTCTTCATTTTTGTGGATACGACAATTATCCATCACAATCACTGAGTTTGATTGAGGCCATGGATTCATTTGGCTGAGGAGTCCGTCAATAAATTTTCGGAACCGCAAGTTGTTGTATGAGCCTTCAACAATATCAACAGTGAGAATTCCAGTACTACATAGAGCTGGTAAGATGGAGTATCTAGAGCTATTCACGTTAGCAAGAGACATACTTTGAATACAGGAAAGACTCACCGCCGACCATACACAAAAAATGCACTGCAAGTAGCATGCTGTCCACCTATTGCCCATGCATAGCCTCGATAAGTGGTTCTTCTATCAGCAGAACTCTCATCTACAAAAACTAGCCGCTCTGAAGTGTAATGTAGTCCAATAAGTGCAATGTATCTGGCCCGCTTGATTGCGCTCCTCTCAATGGCTTTTTGTTTTAGCTACAACAAAGAAGGACAAAGATAAGTACAAGGATATGCAGTTGAGGTAGAGACAAGACTTTTTCATCCTATATCCACTGCGTCAAAGAGTTCTCCAGATGGTGACAAGAGAGACATTGGTCCCAGTCAATGCTTCGAGCAAGTCCTTCATCTCATCCAGGTATGCTGTTAAGATCATGTACACCGTGTAACCGTGCCAAAGTCACAAGGTGTCTAAGTGCGGAAGACGAGTGGGACAGTAGTGAAGTTATTAACAACACCGCCGTTACGCCGTTAGTCCCCGGAGAGCGAGAGTAGAGAGAGAGGAGCTAAGTAGCAGCCAGGTCGGAGCGGCGGTATCGCCGATGACGAGGAGCGGACCAGAGAACGTTAAAGTCCTAAGGTCGAGGAGAACGTACTTCGAGGCGTTGAGCCTGAAGACTTAGAGAAGAGTTAAGTTGAGAAGGGAGATCTAAGTTGATCTAAGTTGATAATTAAACTGAGGAACTACAGTAGCGTACAGGCAGTATTTATATCTACGGAACGGCGCAGCGGTGCGGAGCGCCAGACTAACTACTAGGAGCTATACGAGTAGTACCTGCAGGGTAAAGTAAAAGACAATAAAGAGAGACTAGAACGAAAGAGTAAAAGACAATAGTGAGAGACTAGAACAAAAGGGTATGTGTAGCGAGAAAGAACAATAAGAGTCAGACTACAATAAGAGCAGATCTTCGGAATACCGAGCGGCGGAATGGAGGCCCGCGGCATGGACTTGACAGTATCCCCCTCTTAGGCTTGAGCCCTCGAAAGCCATTAATACCGGGAGTTGGTTAGTCACCAAAGAAAAATTTCAAAGGCCGTCAGCATCGGGAATTTGGCCTATCAGTCAGCAGGAAAATTTTCAAAAGCCGTTGGTATCGGGAATTGGCGCGGTTCACCGTAAACCCAACACAATTCGCAGGAAAATTTTTTGTTGGTCCGTGCGCAGGTTTTGCCGTATAAAAGGTCCAGAGTTTCGCCGTTGAGGGCCTAACTTTCCAAAATCTCCTAAGTCCACCAACATGACGACCAGCCGTACACAAACTACCACGACCAGCTCTTCAACCGCCGGCCCCTCTAGGTCACGCCCTATCCCACCACCGCCCATCGACCTCACTGCTCACGAGGAGGACGACGTGGAGGATGAGGAGGAGGACGAGGATGAAATAATCCGGAGGGCACAGGCAAGAGTTGAGAGGGTAAGAGCGAGGAAGGCGGCCGCTGTGGCGAAGAAAGCCGAGGAGGAGAAGGCTGCAAAAGCGGCGGCGGCTAGAGAGCGAGCGGCGCAGGAGGCGCGGGACCGGGCCATTCGGGCTCGTCAACAGGAGGAAGAGGTAGCGGAGCGGAGAAGGCTTTTGGCCGAGGCGGCGACCGCCAGAAGTCAAAGGGGGACTTCTCCCAGTGAGATGTCCGCTTCTCCAAGAAGGCCGGTGGTGGAGGTTCGACGAGTAGTGAAGGGGAAAGGCAAGGCCAAGGCCCAGGTGAGTCAAGCTTTTTGTGGTTTCAATCCCCTCACTAACGTTTTGTTTCTAGCCGATGGGCGGAGATCCCGACGACGGCGATGACGGGGATGACGACGACGATGACGAAGAAGACCGCGCACCTTGCGAACGGTGCAAGACCAAAAAACTCCCTTGCCAAATGCAGGCAGGCAAGAGGAGTTCGATAATTTGTAAGCCCTGTCACGACGCCAAGGTGAGGTGTTCCTACTCGGGGCGCCCTACAACTTCGAAACAACGGGAAGGCGGTTCCGGCGAACGAATCGCTGTTTTGGAGAGCCAAATGGCTCAGAGTCTCGCCGACAGCCGGGCGCTACGAGAGGCGGACTCGAAAACTCACCAATACCTCCGTCAATTGTTGAGGAGGCAAGAGGACGACCATGCCCGCCTGATAGCCATGGAGACGAGAATGGCCATGATGGGTATGGGAGGAGGACCGGCGACGGCTGGACCGTCGAGGGGGACTACCGAGCGGCGGCGTCCGCTGAAACGGCGGAGGATTACGAAGGAGAGTGACGAAGAAGAGGAGGAGGAAAAGGAAGTGCAGCAAGGTATGGAAGAAGATGGGGAAGGAGAAGTAGAGGAAGAAAGAGGAGAGATGGAGGTAGAGGAAGGAGGAGAGGGGGAGGCACCGGCGAAGACGGTGACCTCTGACAAGGGAAAAGAGAAGGAGTTAGTAGAGTAGTAGAGTCACGGACATCGGACATCGGCCCTGCGGCCCTTCTTGTAAATTCTTGTAGTCCTCTGCCTCCTGTATAATCTTGTTTTTGGACTTTTGTATATAAATAAATGTTCAATGCAATTTTGAAGTCGGAAAGCGAATGGGCCGCGAAGCGGCGTAAGAAGTAATTAGTTTAGTATAAGTAGTGTAAGTGTAAATGGAAGCTAAGTGAGAACTGTGATTAAAGAAACCATAATAAGCAAATAAGAGATAGAGATAAACACTCAATTTACTATCATCGTGTTTATCCTCTAAACGCACAAAGTAAACTTCGGCGGAGCGCGGCGGAAACGGGGAAAGGGATAAAATGATTTTTTGTGATCAAGGTCCAGGTTTCAAAGGGTATCGAGCGTGGAATGCGGGTACCAGTTCGTCAGCATGTAATTCATCAGCAGCTACCCAAGAGAATTCATCGTCGGTGCCTTCGTAACCGGCCCACCGAATATAGTAACGTAGAGGGCAACGTTTGTACCTTCTGTCCAGCTTGGAGTCCAGGATTTCGGCAACGTTGTACTCCTCTTCACCATCAACTTCGATTGGAGGTGGAGGAGATTGAGTACGATTTGGGAAAGGATTCGGCGTAACCGGCTCCAGCTGTGAGACGTGGAAAACCGGATGAATTCGGCGAAGGTAGTCTGGGAGCTTGAGCTCGTAAGACAAAGTACCAGGTCGACTGATGACCTTGAAAGGACCGAGATATTTTTCTGAGAATTTTTCAGTAGGACGAGTAGAGCGAATGTGTTTAGCAAGAACAAATACTTCGGAGCCGATCGGGAACTCCGGATGCGAGATTCTTTTCCTGTCAGCTTGTTCCTTGTAACGAGATTGGGCTAAAAGGATTTCTTCTCGAAGGAAAACGTGTAGTTCATCGAGGTTAACGACGAAGTCTCTAGCTAGGTCAGACTTCATGTCGACCTCGGGCCAAACGGTGATATTTGGGTGGTATCCTTTGTTAGCGAAGAATGGAGTAATACCAGTGGAAGCATTGGGAGCGTTGTTATAGGCGAACTCGGCGATCGGGAGTAAAGGCGACCAGTCATCCTGTTGGTAGGAGCAATAGATCCTGATGTACTGCTCGAGAGTCTGATTGACACGCTCGGTCTGCCCATCGGCTTCCGGATGATATCCAGAGGTATAGTGAAGTTCCATAGAGAGCGCTTTACCGAGAGCCCGGAAGAACGCCGAAACAAATTCGGAACCACGATCGGAAGTAACATGATTAGAAACACCATGCTTAGAGAAAACGTGAATAACAAAAAGCTCAGCTAGATGTTCGGAAGTAATGGTGTCGTGAGTTGGAATAAATATAGCCTGTTTGGAAGATCGATCCACGACGACGAGGATAGCTGTATAGCCATTCGACATTGGCAGTTGCTCAATGAAGTCCATAGAGATGGAGTCCCAGGGTCGGACCGGAACCGGCAAAGGTTTCAACAAGCCGTAAGGCCGGTGACGGCGGGGCTTATTGCGACCACAGATAGTGCAAGAGGTAACGTAGTCACGAACAAAGTCTCTGACCTTGGGCCAGGTGTATTGACGACGTACAGCTTCTAGAGTGCGGTTCTGGCCGAAATGGCCGGAGAGTGGATGATCATGGAAATAACGAAGGACTTGAAGGCGAAGGTCGCCGTGATTAGGAACATAAATACGGTCGTCAAGGCGTAGTAGCTTGTCACTACCTAAGCTCCAACGTTCATTGGAAGGATCTTTAGCAAGTTCCAAACCAGCAACGGAGCTCGGATCGGCGGGAAGGGCAAGAAGGATAGCTTGGTGTAGAGCTTCGATATCCATGATAATCGAGGCTCGTAAAACGGGGCCTTCCAGGAAGGTAGCTCGAAGAGACGCAGTGAGTTGTTCGTTAGTAAAGATAGGGCGAAAGTTATGAGGGTTCACTTGGGCGTAGCCGATATCCCCCTCTTTAGGGTAGACGTCCCAGCGTCTAGTTATCGAATCGGGTTTCTTGCCGAGTTTACCCGGCCGGAAGCGAATGACCATATTAAATTGGTGTAAAAATTCTGACCATCGGACCTGTCGGTGTGTGAGAACCTTGGTAGTAGAGAAATACTCAAGATTCTTGTGATCGGTGACGACGTCCACCGGATCACCCGAACCTTCCAGATAATGACGCCAAGCTTTAAAGGCCTCGAAGATGGCCAGTAGCTCTTTGTCGTGTGTATCGTAGTTGAGTTCCGCCGCATGAAGCGTTCTGGAAAGGAAGGCTAGAGGATGAATTTCACCGTCAGCATATTGGATGGAAAGAATAGCCGCAATGGCGTAGTCGGAAGCGTCGGTCTCCACGATAAGTGGGCGATTCGGCTCCCAATGGGCCAGTATCGGCGCAGAAGTAAAAGCGATTTTGAGGTTTTCGAAGGCCTCTTGACAGCTGCTGTCCCAGATCCAGGGAGCGCCTTTTCGGGTAAGCCGAGTCATCGGCACAACGATATCGCTATAATTATAAATGAAACGACGATAGAAATTTGCAAAACCCAGGAAGGACTGAATGTC